GTAGGTTGTATATCGCGTAAGCTTGCATTTCCTATCTAACCCGTCTTAAAACTACGATTTTGTAAGCATGATTTCTTACAATTTTCATCGTCAACCTTAATTTTTTTTTATACGAATAGAAAGATGGGAATTCAAAGAATATAATTCAATTTTATTAACCTCGGTTGGGTTATTTATAATTTTAACATTGAGGCCACTGGAGCCACCTTAAATTAGGTATAATGATGTAAATAATAAATAACATATACATGAAGAACAATGATTTGAACATTGAATACTGTTAACACATTAAAATTAATATCTGCATCACCAAAAATAAGACCTATAACTCGTAATGAACAAGAGAGACATAGTTATGGCTCCTGATTTACTGCACTACAATAAAACGTTATTAGTTTACGTTGCTAAAAATTTTGATTACAGGCATCGAAACGATGTAATGTGCAGTCATGAAACTTGTTTCCAGTTTGCATTAAATTTTATGTAAAATGTAATAAAAAGGTCATATGGATAGTGTGATATTTATCTTTATGAAATTTATTATATGACATGATATTTTAGGCATAAACCACAAAAAAATGTTAATGTACGATTATGAAAGTTGTTTCCAGTGCAATGAAATTGACTGTAAATATTTTTAACAGTGTAGTTAACATGCCATAGTTGCGTTAAACCTGCGCCATGTCAGATGGCATCATGCGACGGAGCGAAAAGCTGAATTTTTGATATTATTACATCAATCGCAATTCATAAAAACGGTATAAATTTTTTTTTTATACAAGGAATGTATTATGATATGTTTTAATATGCTTATCAATAGTTATGAAATTTTTTCTCTTTTTTCGACGAAAAACGCTATTTTTGCGTGATTTCAGGGAAAAAAGTGCAATATAACATTAATGCACAAATAATTTTAACATAAAAACATGCAACATGCACATTCGATCGAAGAAAATCTTATATAAAATGTCGAAATTTACATTTTTGTTTGTACAACATTGTTGAATTAGATCTCAAGAATACGTGTAGGAGTTCTTAGGTTATAATATTAAGTGAAAGACATTTGGGAAGCTGTTTAGTAAAATACACTGGCTCCGTTATTTACAACTTAAGCAAAGTATCTCCCCAAATGTCTTTCGCTCAATATTATAACCTAAAAACTCCTACACGTATTTTTGAGACCTTATTGAACAATGTTGTACGAATAAAAATGTAAATTTCGAAAATTCATAACAGACTTACTATGATCAAATGTGCGTGTTGCATGTTTTTAGGTTAGAATTATTTGTGCATTAAAGATAATATTTTAGATTATCAGATGAATACTGTTATGACATAGACACTATGAGGAATGTATGTGATTTTTTTCCGAACCATTTTATGTTTTCATGTCAGAGTACGGACGAGTTGAACACATAATGCCACTTTGGCATTATTAAATAAAGTATCATGACGTATCGATAAAAATAATGAACCGTATCCATACCTCTGACAACTTAACAGTGGCTACGATGGCCATCTGGTCATAGTCCCAGTCAACATATTTGACGCCCATTGCCTGGCGAACTATTGATCTCTGCCCATCAGCGCCAATCTAGAAAAAGGAAATGAAAATGTAGTATTAATGATGTACTTTAAAACATTATGTAAAATAGTTTAACCAATTATAAAAATAGTAGTAATATTGACGATTAAAAAACTACAACAACGAGGAATTCTCTGGAAGTGCGAAAATACAACACAAAAAAGTGACCGAGAACGACGATGTCAAACAAAAAACCAAAGTAGGCCTAGGAAGAATGCCATGGTGGGCTGTCTATCGCAGCTCGATCAAGAATACAGCCAGAATCGAGAATGCTGCACATGAAAACTATTAAAACACAACTGCAATCATCATAATAGTCCGTAATGCATAATTAAAAATCCAAAAGTTACACCAATATTTTAATATTTATTATAATTAATTGAACACGCCAAAGCCAGTAACGTAATTTTGTCCATGCCGAAGCAGAACGATAAGCTAGTCGGTACAATAACACAAGTATGACGCAAGTGACTGTTAATAACGTTTTTGTGGGGTCATGTAAGCATATTACTTACTTCTTTATTAATAAATTGTATATATCTGACAATTCGAACAGGATAAAACACTGAATATTCTATTGTCAATTGTACATTGAGTCCTTGTTAGTCCAGCAAGCCTGTACTTTTTTCTCACCATGGGCTGTACGATCGCTTTTTCATCACCACCAACGACTTGTACACAGCAAATACGCAGTACAAAAACAAAAAAATAAAATTGGAAGTACAATCAATACTAGAAAGGATGACGCACATCTAAAAATAGCTGATTTTGTCAGTATATAATCTAGAATGAGCGTTTTACGTTAAATCCATAACTTAAAAGAAAAATACCAAACATCGTTTTCTATGTTAACATATCATTAACCAATACATAGGGCAAAATGTACGTATTAGTAAGTTGAGTAAGCAATAATACCATACCATTTTTGCTGCTTAGGTGCCGCAACTAAGTCTTGCCAAAGGTTTGCTACCCAAGTATTGCTCAAGTACCGCACATGTGTTGCCGATGTCTTCCCAAGTACAATCTAAGTACCGTCAAAGTTTCAGTCTAGTACCACTGATGTACTGCCCAAGTATTGCTGCTCAAGTGCTACCTAAGTGCCGCCAAAGTTATTTTTTAATACCACTACAGAAAGGCCGACTAAGTACCGTCGAAGTGCCACCGAAGTACCACCCAAATACTGCTCAAGTACCGCTTCTTTTATGCCACTTAAGTACTGATGCTCAAAGGTTGCCAAAGTGCCACTGCACTAGTACCACTTTAGTGCCATCGATGTCCCGTTCAAATACTGCTCAAGTACAGCTCATGTGCCATTTAAGTCCGCTGCAAGTTTATTTTACGTGATGCAGGTAAAATGAACTCATAAAAACATCTTTAATATTGTCCAACCAACGACAAATTTTTTTTGTTATTTTTTCCGTAATCAGCAACCCAAAATACTTCTAATGTCAAAAAGCATCTTTGGACCATCAATTGTCTACTACAGAGCTCCGTCGACTGGCCGATGGCGACGTCACGCCACCGACGCTTACGCAAAAAGTACCTTTTTTTATTGATTGATGAAACAGGTAGACATGTTAAACGATCTGAAAATTTGGATATTGGCAATTTCACTCCCTCTTAACACGTTGGAACCCAAATTATAACATTTTTTAAAAATTTAACCCCCCTCCCAGTCTTAGTAACAAAAGGTCACTTTTTTCAAATGTCGACGGTTTGCAAAAATTTACAACATTTCAATCTATAAATTTAACTGTAGTTTCAAGACCATAATACTGACAACATATTACAATTTTACCTCTGTAGCATTATCAGAACGCGAGATATCAAATAACAAAGTTTTGCAAAAAAAGGTTTTCTTGCAATTTGCGAGCAATCCGCTAATCCGATACTTTTTATTTAGGGCCCATTCTCTTCATTCTTTTATCGTGCAGTCAGGAGTGAATAAACACCGGTATAATGTGTGCAATAAACTTTTTTGTAAAATGCTTTTCTGTTTTTATAGTAACTCCTAGATGTCATTGTCAACATAAAAAAAAAAAACAGACAGTTTCTCTGAATAATTGCACAACGAAAAAAAGTGAAACAACAGAGACACTTTAAATTTGACATCGAAGACACTCACTGGTGTGGTATTCGTGGTCAGCAAACTCAAAACCCTATACAAAAGTACCTATATTGGCCATTATCCTGCATCTCCAAGAGATGGCATAGATACTGTATTTCCTGGACTCCAGATACCCCGAAAACACTCGGTGCTGTGGTATTCGTGACCAGATACCTTACAAACCCCACGAGAAATTATCTAAATCTGGCATTGTTCTGCAACTCCAGTACATTACGTAGATACTGTCCACTCTGAGCTCCAGGTACCTCGGAGACACTTGGTGGCGTGGTGTTCGTGATCAGCTACCCCAAAAACCCCCGAGAAAGTACTTATGTCGGGTATTGCCCTGCAACTCCAGGTTGATACTATCTACCCTGGCCTCTAGGTGACCCAGAGACACTCGCTAACGTGGTATTCGTGATTAGCGATCTTATAAACTTTCGAGCAATGACAATCACCTTATTTGCTTCATTATTCATCGATTTGCATTGATGTTGCATTTTGCTTTAAGATGAACTTTAAAACTAATAAACATAAATTACTGCACCCTATAAGACGGTACAGCCATATTACAAAGCGTGGCGAATTACGGCGTAGGTACGGCTTACCTTATTGATCGATAATTTGGTTATGGTACGACTGCAGCTAGTCTGTCATGATGACTCGATGTTTGGAGCATTACAAGTTTTTTGAACTAATTCCTTGCAAAAGCCTATTCATTTTAATAACTATGATAAAGTGTATTCCACGTTAAAACTCAACGAAAAACACGAAAAAAATAATCAATTTAATATTTAGACAATATTCGTGAAAATTATTTTTTTATTTTTTTAACTAGGATCCTTACATTATTTGTATTAATTCCATTGAAAAAAGCATCCTCAAATTACTCTAAAGCGACATTTCTGATAGGGTATTATTACTTACTCAATTTACAATAGGCTGTCCATATTTCTTATGTATAATGTTTTTTATAGGTATTATAATCACGTTTATTTTTTACCTACTTCAATGCTGCATACATATTTAAAAGGTTATCTCTAATGTAAATATACTAATTATTAAACCACTACTATTATTCCAAAATCAAAATGTTAAAAAAAAAAAAGATATTCAATGGGTCAGGAATACATGAGTATAATTATTATTTCACTCTGTACATTCATGTTAAAACTATATTTTTATGGAAGAATTCTGTGTTCCTTTTTTCACACAATATTTTCATTGCTGATTATTAGTCTATAAGGGTTCTAAAACTGTAATTGGCAGGTTCTTAAGTCCGTTTCTTCGAAGGCATTGATTAGAGCGTATTACACACACACGTACATGCGCACGTGCACAAACACACATGTGGGTACTTACAACTTGATTCATACAAAGGGTATTTAAATTTATATAAAGTAATAAAAAGATTTTTGAGAGTTATATACTTTTCAAAAAAAATTTGCAAAGTGTTAGCTTGTGTTTATTCGCTAGGTATATATCACGCAGCGCCTTCAGTGTAGCGTCGACAAAGTGAAACATGGATGCCAAAATGTGCAAACAACAGACGATAGCTGAGAGAGAAAACTTAAAAAACTTTGCAGGTCCGAAGAGTTTCGAGGTTACTTCATCAGTATATGTATATATTTATTGTTTTCCTACATAATACACATCCAATTTAATAATTGACACAGATCTTATAATAGTGTGAAATCATATGGGATAAAATATGTTAAATTATGCATGCATAATATATTACCTAGCGAAATACAATATACTATAGTCATCGTAGTAAATAAATTATATTCGTTAGTATAATTATTTAGGTGATATAGAGGTCCTATGTAAGCTTTTGCAGGTTAGATAGACTTACGCAAAACGTATATAAGTAAGATAGAAAAAACTATCTATTCAATGTCAAGCAGGCCACCTAATACCTAATTTTAATTCAAATTAAATGAAGCACAGATGATATGTGGGTTATGTGCCCTAAACGTGGAAATTTTTGTAAAGTAATTTTTTTTTTATTTTAGACTGAGCAAGTTTTCACTTATTTGTTGTGAATGAAACAGTTGCATACTTCATGTAAATACGGTAACGATAGTCCTTGAAACGATGGGGCACAAATTTAACATAAAAGTAAGAAATTTAAAACAGTAAATTCAAATTAGCGATTTGCAAAGGATTCTCTACACTAAGACTATTAGATAACCAGTTCTCGATTGTTGTTTTTTTTTTTTATACTGTTGCTTTTCAGATCGCACGAAGCGCGTTTAACATAACTAGTAAAGTAAAAAAAAAAAATTGGCAGCTATAAATTATCTAAATTATAAGAGCAAAAAAAAATTTTCCCACCCAAGTGCATAAATACAAAGGACATTTTTTATAAACATGATGATCTTATATTTTTAAATTACATAATAATATATTGCTCATACATTTTAAGTAAAACTTCATTTTTTATTTAAATAAAGCTTCTTTGACAAGAAAGTAGAAGCATATATACTATTTAATTATGAAAATTATACCGATTCTTGTTCTTATCAACATGTTTGACAGGTCACTTTTCAGATATCTTTGGAATGAAGAAACCTATAAATGAGTCTCTGATTATATTTAAGGTAGCTAAAAAAAAGTTTATAGATGTCACATAAGCAATTCACGCGATATACTTATAGTAAGCGGAATAATAACAAATGAAAAAAAAGGGTCAAAGTTTGTATTTAATAGCAGTAATAGTTAACGACAAATATCTTGATGAGTGTTCTGTATTTTTTTTATAGCGATGAATCAAAATAAATACATCAAAAATAAAAAGGGATATAATTTAGTTCCCAAGCGATTTTACGGAAACGTGGAAAAGTTTGCCGACGGCTGCTATATGCTAAATGCTTATAGGACAAGCGAGCATCTTCTATAGTTGTCTTGTCTTTTCGCGGAGCACAAAATACTCTATAAAAGCTATTATATTCAAAAGTATTATCCAAAGCTATTAAGTGTCCCTTGATAAAATCTCATACAATCATGCTACCGGCGAAAAGCAAACGTTGACTTATGATTTTCTATTTGAAATTTTTTTTTTTTTTACTTAAACGTTCATACGTCTGACTACAGAATTTTTTATCCATTTTGTAAAATAATGATAGTATTGAAAGTTTGTAAGCTTAAAACTTATTTTTAGGATTTACTGTATCACGATAATCCTTTTTAGAGAAGTCCAGAAAAAGATCAAATTTAAATATTATCGTACGATTTCAGAATAACAGATACATCCATACGGCCTCTTTTTCATTTCTGACTTCACTAGAGCGCGTGCGTTTGGTATGATTTCAATTCATTACTTAGCACCAATTAGAAAGTAAGGATACTGTAAATCACGACTGCTTGTAGTTGAGAACAATCTAATGGACGTATGTTCGGCAAGCAGAAGGTTTTGTGTTAAAATTATACTCCAAGATTTGTTTATCATCGCAAATGATTGTTTATTATTTTTAACATCGATATAATTGTAATTAATTCTTAGATTTTTTTCATCTATATGATACTTATTTTTTTGAATTTGTATACAAATTAATGGCATTTATCAATGATAACAAGAGGCTAAATTTATAAAAAAATTTTAGGTCTTGCATTTGGGGCACGACCGATCTACAGTTTGCCAGAACAGAAAGTGTACTTTTAGTTATAGGAATTTAGTTAGAGATTATTCTTACCGTTTAGTATAATTTCCAAGTTAACTTTTAATTTTTTCACCAAACGTCAAATAATAAGCTAGTAATACATACTACAAATCAATTTGTCAGCCATTTCAAAATGCTTTTTGTTGTATCTTATGTTTAGAAAACACTGAAGACGTAAATGCCTAACACAGATAAGTATTTTAATGAGATCCAAAAATTTTATATTAAACATTGGGTGAGAAAATGACACATAAAAAAGTTAAATGCTATCTAACTAACTCAGGTCACCATTATACTTAGTTAAAAAATATTTTCATATAAAAAAAATTATGCAGAAGTGGTTACACTTTCTGCTCAGACAAGCATATAAGTCACTCGAATGCATTGGTTGTGTCTAAAAATCACGGATTTACTTTTATTGTTGGAAAGGTAGAGCTATTTACTAGTAAAAAAATATTGGATTTCAAATACCCTCCACCTAAATGATGTGCGCGTACGCAATAAGACATATATTGATTTCTTGCTTG